AAAAAAAAAAAAAAAGAAAGTTGAGACATTACTACTGACCTTACAGAAATAAAAAGAAATATAAGAGAAGACTATGAACAACTATACATCGATAAATTAGATAGATGAAATAGACAAATTTCCCTGGAAACATACAAATTACCAAAACTTACTCAAGAAGAAACAAAAAAATCTCAACAGGCCTATGACAAGTGAAGATCGAATGAGTAATCAAAAACTTCCTAACAAAGAAAAGTTTAGAGCCAGATGGCTTCACTAGTGAATTCTACCAAATATTTTAAAAGATTTAATGCCAATCTTTCATGAACTCTTCCAAATAATAGAAAAGGAGGGAACACTTCCTAATGTACTCTATCAAACCAGCATTAGTATGACATCCAACTCAGACAACGATATCACAAAAAAAGAAAACTATGCACCAATATCCATTATGAATATAGATGCAAAAATTCCCAAGAAAATGCTAACAAACTGAATCTAATAGAATATTATAAAGGATTATGCACCATGACCAGTGGGATTTATCCCAAGAATTTAGAGTATTTCAACCTTAAAAAAAATCAACCAATTTGATAACACCATATTAGTAGAATGAAAGAAAAAATTCACATGATAATCTCAGTTGATTACACACACATGCACACGATATACAACAAAATCCAATATTCTTTCATAAAGAAACACTTAGAAAATTAGGACTAGAAGAGAACTTCCCCAGTATAATAAAGAACACAAGAAACTCATAGTGAAGACTGAAATATTCCTTATATCAGAAAGAAGATAAGGATGCCCATTTTCACCACTGATACTCAACATTGCACTGGAAAATTCTAGGCAGAGCTATTAGGCAAAAAAAAGAAATAAAAGTCATCTCAATCAGAAAGGAAAAAAGTTAAAATATCTCTATTCAAAGATGACATGATCTTGCCTGGTATGGTGGCTCATGCCTCCATAATCCCAACACTTTAGGAGGTGGAGGTAAAAGGACTGCCTGAGGCCAGGGGTTCATGACCAGCCCGGGCAACATAGCAAGACTCTGTCTACACACAGAGACAAAAATTAGGTGATGTGGTGGTGGGTGCTTGTAGTCCTAGCTACAAGGGAGGCTGAAGCAAGAGGATAGCTTGGGCCCAGGAGTTGAAGGTTATAGTGAGCTATGATTATGCCACTGCCCAGGGTGACATTTTTACATTCACCTAATCTTATGTAAAAGAAAAAAAAACCCCAAAGATGACTTGATCCTTTATATAGAAAATCACAAAGCATTAATATAAAATCACAGTTAATATAAAAACTACTAAAGCTAATAAATTTAGCGAAGTTGCGAAGTACAAGATTAACACACAAAAATCAGTTGTGTGTCTATAAACCAGCAAATAACAATTTGAAAATAAAAATTAAGAAAATAATTCTAGGCTCGGCACCTATAGCTCAACTGGCTAAGGCTCCAGCCATGTACACCTAAGGTGGCGGGTTCGAATCCCCAGCCCGGACCCGCCAAACAACAATGACGGCTGCAACCATAGCCGGGCGTTGTGGCAGGCGCCTGTGGTCCCAGCTACTTGGGAGGCTGAGGCAGGAGACTCGCTGGAGCCCAGGAGTTGGAGGTTGCTGTGAGCTGTAATGCCATGGCACTCTACCCAGGGGGACAGCTTGAGGCTCTGTCTCAAAAAAAAAAAGAAAAGAAAAGAAAAGAAAATAATTCTATTTATGATAGCATCTGAAAAATGAAATAATAAATTTAAGCTGGTGGAAGACTTGTTCACTGAAAACTTCCCAAGTGTTCACAAGACATTGTTGAGGGTGGCACCTGTGGCTCAAGGAGTAGGGCGCCAGCCCCATATATCAGAGATGGTGGGTTCAAACCCGGTCCCGGCCAAAAACTGCAAATAAATAAATAAAATTTTAAAAAAACAAAAAAACCCAAGATATTGTTGAAACAAGTTAAAAAAAAAAACCTAAATAAATGAAAGCTATCCCATGATCACTGATTGGAAGAACTAATATTGTTAAGGTAACAATGATACTAAAGCAATCTACAGGTTCAAAGCAATCACTATCAAAATCCAGTCTTTTTCTTTTATCTTTTCTTTTTTTTTTTTTTTTCAGAAATGGAAAAGCTGGGGGTTTTTTTGGCCAGGGCTGGGTTTGAATTCGCCACCTCTGGCATATGGGGCTGGCGCCTTACTCCTTTGAGCCACAGGCACTGCCCAAAAAGCTAGTTTTTAAATTCATATGGAATTAGGGTGGTGCCTGTGGCTCAAAGGAGTAGGTTGCCAGCCCCATATACCAGAGGTGATGGGTTCAAACTCAGCCCTGGCCAAAAACTGCAAAAATTTAAATTCATATGGAATTACAAAGGGACCTGAGTAGCCAAAACCATCTTGAAAAAGAAACAAAGTTGGATGACTCCAAATGCCCAATCAAAAAAAAAAAAAAAACTTCCTACAAAACTACATAATCAGTGTGGTACCAATATTAGGATAGAAATACATTCTATGTAGAATTTTGTAAATATTCTATAAAATTTTGTAATGAATATTTTGTAAATAAAGATACATTTACCTACACTTTCCCATTTTCCCTGTGTATGGTGGTTTGGGGGACCACCTGTAGAACAATGGAATAGAATTGAGAATCCAAAAACAAACATCTATGGCCATTCAATTTTGTCAAGGCCATTCAATGGGGGAAAGAATAGTTTCTTCAATAAACAAAGTTGGGACAATTGAATAATTACTTGCAAAAGATTGAAGTTGTAGCCCTATATCACATCATATCTAAAAATTGACTAAAAAAAAATGGATCAATGA